AGTGGGTGTGGGAGTAGGAGCGAGAGGAGAATACAGAAAAGAGGGGATGAGGGAACGGACGTGGGTATATGCAGACGACTAGGGAAAGACAAAGAGAAACAAGGGAAAGAGAGACACGTCGAGGTCGAGGACGTCCATTTGATCGAGTCCGTTTTCCCACGCGCTTCTTGCGGTGTAGCCATGTCGAGAGACGTGCTACACGTCTGCGAGTTGCACTAAGATGGCACGAGCACGCGTACCCATCACAGCGGCCGCTGTGCGAGTGCACGTCTTCGTGTGTAGTGCCCTCTGCGAGCTGCTAACTACGGAGAGATATAAAGAATGTATACGCGATCGAGCACCGCGCTGACCAAAAATATATTCATATTTCTCGGTATCGGCTACCTACAAATTAGGTACATGCGGGTATATCGGCGACGATCCGGTATGGTCAGGTATCTCATTCTAGATGCTGTTCTCATTGGGCGTCATGACGTATGCGCCCTGAAAACGACTTCGTTATGTCAGGGCAAACCTTCCAGGAGCTAAAGTGTCATGCCTCGATTTGGCAGGCTGCATCAGGCATATCAAAAATTCGTCCAAAACTTTAAGATACGGGTTACAAGGTATGCGCCTTCGCTAACGCTCCGGCTGCCAAAGGTTTATCCTGACCGCAACATAGTCATTAATACGATTCACGTGGATCTACTTGTGATGAATGGTGAAGAGAGCGAAGGAATAAGGTAATTCTATGTGTGACTGTACGAAAACATCACTGGTGAGTAGGACAAGACACGCCGAGCTACGCTCCGGCACTTTCTATCGAATTTAGCATATATATTATTGGGCTCGAGCTCACACCGCTACAGAATATCATAATCTTCCCGAGGGCTTAGCTGAGGACAAAAACGCACCATAGATAGTTGCACGTATCACCAGCAAGTGTCATTCTACCACGTTCGGGATTTATTGGGGATAAATATCGCAGGCCAAGATCAAAAAGGAAACCCCCATATCAAAACGTCAAACAAAGGTCAACAAAAGCCTACCATAATTTTGAAGATACGAGTTATAGTAGCACCAACACCAATCATGTGGATGGTGATGCGAAGCTGCAGGCCTCCAGCAATCACTCGCCTTATATAGCCCCAACGAGCGCATCCGCATCCGTATATGCTGTGCACAGCTTTGTCAGCGTCAGTAAGCAACACTACTGCGCTTCAGTCAACACTTATTAATGGCTACGCCTCATTCAAGCTGCGTTTCCTATTCGGCGCCGATACACTGCGCAATACAGCGTTACAAACATTTGCAAACGAAATCAGTCCGCTACAAGCCAATGGTTATCCTCAAGTTATCCTGGCTTATGAATTTCCTTTGAGAATATTGCACGGGAAACGGGCTAGAAAGCGAAATTTGCATCTTGACGTGGGTGTGTATTCTGACGTAGGATCACAGTAAATTGCAGGCTGGTTGCAAGGCACCAAAATTAGAAATGGCTGCAATCGAACTATTAAATTTGCGACATTATTACCCGTATCTTTACCCGTATCTTCAATATTTCTTCAGGCTTGGCATTGCTCCTATTTGGCTCCTGCACATGGCTCCTACTTTCTGCGGGATCCTGCGGATCCTGCTCATCGCGCTCTTGAATCTAACTCCTTTCGTGTTGGTCCATCACGCCTGTCCCTGTCGCGTTCCTCCAGATCTGGATGCAGTTTCGTTTCAGATGCCGGGGTCGACTCCGTCTGTGAGCGTATTTAGTCTGCTCGTTTGAGGGTCATCATATTTCATTCCCTTTTTTTTCACCCTCTACCCTCTCGCATGTCGTGCTCTTTCACCGTCGGTCTATTCTGTCTCGGCGAAGGTGAACGTCGCACCGATAGCGCTGGTACCGCTCTACAACTTCTATAAGACGACATTCCCTTACTCCCCTGGCCTCTCCGTGAGTGCCAACATACGCCACTATCCCGACAACGCCAATCAAGCGCTCCTGCCATTCGGGACGATGGTCTTCCTTATCGCGAAGGCTCATTTTGCTCAGTCACCCGACATCCTCCTTAATGCTATCTGTCTCTATCCTTTCATGGGTGATCCGAGCGGCGACTCGTATCTCGCTTTCATGCCCGAAGCCTACAAATGTCCATTCTTCTTTGGTGATGGACGTGTTTCCACTTCCTCTTTGAATGATCTCCCCGATCCGACGTCAACGTTGAGGGTTTTCGACGTTTGCGTTACAGAGTTTGTTCGTCATGCGCCTGTTAGTTCTACTGTTCAGTGAATCATCTTCATTCCTCTACCGTCGTGTCTTCTAATGTTGCCCACTAGGTTCTCGTTCGAAAGCACTCACCCTCGTTGGGTGAACGCGCGTGCTCCGAACGCGAACACTTGCGTTGCGATACTCGGTCAAGCTTGCGATCTCTCGACTTGCGGATTCATTCAGTTCGCTATGCAGTCCATCGCCCTCAACACTGCTGCGCCTCAGTCCGTTGGTGGGACGCGCTCGCAGCCGGGCGCTCCAGGCGGTGGTACAGGCTCTTCTCCTTCGACGCCTTTCGTTTCTCCCAGCAAGCGCAAGCGGTTCACGCCTCATCCTTCCTCCTCCACGCGTCAGCGAACGTAAGTAACTCAATCTATCGTTTCCTCTTATTCTTCTGATGTGTCTTCCTTCGAGCTCTGGCCTGTCGTATAACACCGAGGAGGAGTTTCAGGCACAGGGTGAAGCTGTCTTCCCGGCCGTTGCTTCTGGGTACGTGTTCCCCTTTATCTGTGGTATTCTTATCGCTCATATCATCAACAGTGTCTCTGCTAGCACCGCAGTCCCTCTGAACGGATACCCGGCGCCCCACCTTTCTCCCCTCCCTGCTGCAACCTTTCATCCTCAGACCCCTCGTCCATTGCATCCCTCCTGTCCCTCACGCTCCTTACTCGTGGTTGTGTTCATACACGTTGTCGCACGCTCCTTTGGCCGATTTGTTTTTGTCCCGTTATTCATTGTGTATTTTGTGCGCATCGAGTATTCAATACATGACCGTTCAATACACACGCGCTGCTATTCAGTCTGTGCACGGGCCCTGTAACCCATCGTGCCTGAAAGTTTCATGGAGTGCTGAAGCCCATTTCTACATTGTGATTGTCTGTTACCTTCACGCTTACAGTTGTCTCGGCTCCGGCTATCAGGCTGAAGTGCATGGATCTGAGTCAGTTGATGGTGTTCAACTCAGAACCTGCCATCGCTTCGAGTTGAGGTGAGATATCTGTTTGGTGAGATGGATACGGATCGAACGATCGTATATTAGCTTATCTTCTATGGCTGTGTGATGTTTAGATGTCCCGCGATCGAACAGTTTTGGGTATCCCTCTGCGCGTGACATCACATACTATATGATCGGCGACTCCTGTCAATGTTCTCGTATCTGATTTGCTGGCCTTCCACTGACTTCAGCGCTTGCGATTAGTAGTCGTTTTCCTGTGTCTGATTTCACCGCTAACATCATGTGCAACTGCGATCGAGACGGTGAGATGAACCTGATCGGGGCAAGCATATCGCGTTGGCGATGTTAACTCCGTTAGAAGCGGCGCAGTATGTTCATGCGCTCTCCATCTTTGTTTAGGTGCGTTCCTAGGGTTCATAACCCTGATTTCCGTATGCCGAAGACGCGTGCTATGGAATTAGCACGGGTACAGTTTTGTCAGCCTCACATGTTACACGTCGTGTCTCAGTTAGTTCTTTCATTAGTACAATTTTGCGTGCCGTGCTCGCATCACAACGACGAAAAGCTTTGTTGGATTGCATGTGTCGTCTGTACCTCCGGTTTGAGTGCCTTACGCATACAGTAACATCGTGTACCGTAGTTGATCTCTTGGTTGATTCGATCTCGTTTGTGCTCACTCGCCGACGGCAGCGCATTATGGCGTAAAGCGCATCTCGTACGTCTGTATGGAGAGGTCGTTGTCAGTGTTTGAATAAGCGTTCTCGGTACAGCGGAAACTGTGCCGACCCTTTACAGTTGCACCCTATGTTCGATAGGCGTCAACGTCACCTCAAGTCAATTTTTTCGTGATTCTAGGAGGTTAGTGCCGTTATTCCGAACATATCATTTGCTCTCTCTTACATTAGTTTGGTCGAAGTTATATTACACAGAATGGCATCTTCACCATGGGCGATTGGACCTATATCCACCCCGAAACTCGTCTGGGGCCAAGTACGTGAGGGGTGCGCTCGCCCATGCCCTCATTGTCACATTGTGATGCTCACGGGAGAAAATACAGGATTTTGTTGTCGCAATGGTTCTCGTAGCAACAATGTTGCTCCCTTACCATCTCTACCCCTTAAATACACGACGCGTTCATTAACCATCCTCATATATCCCGGAACTCTCGTATGATGAACTTGGTATTCTCTTTTGCTGCACTTGAATCCACCCACGCTTTCCCTCATTTCGACAACGGTCCGCCCTCGTTCGTTGCCATGCAGGGGCGTATTTATCACCGAATCAGGCCTACCCATGAAAATTCCGCAGTCAGATGGCTACGTTATGACGGCTTCATGCAAATATACCCTTTCCGCGGTGGTCGCTTCATCTGCCCCAGACTTGGATAGTTGCCGTCCGATCCGCTCTCCTTAGCGTGAATCCGTTCATTGTGTCTCTCAACTCTTTGGTGGACGCCAGTTCGAACGGATTTCCCCATGCGTATCTGATGCTAGAGGACTCTGGCACTGCTACTGAAATAGCGGCGGTGACGTCATACAGCAACACATCTTCCACCGAAGTCGAGTCCCGCTCTCTCGTGGTATTCGACTATTCTAATGATTCAACAACCCGTTCCATCCCTACCGTCAGCCGCCTATGGGAGCTGTTGGCTTATCCGCTACTCTTTCCGCACGGTACCTTGGGATGGGGTGTCGTTTTGACCTCTCAGCGTGCGGCAAACAAGAACAGTGATGATGGCGTCATCATGCGCGACGTCAACGTTCCCGTGGACCAGGGCGCAGATAGGCCTACTAAGCAGTTATGCAGGCATTGCATTTGGTCATTGTTTTTTTTTTTTTTTTCTTTTTTGGTTTTTCGTGTGTTTGCCTGTCACGCGTCATGGGCCGTAGCGGAGCACGGCATGTCTTGTATATTAGAGTAGAAACTTTAAAGTAGCTCAGTCCCCTCTCACGCTCGGATTGTCCAGAGACAAACGTACACAACTTTGCGATTTGATTGGCTAATATTTCTCTATGTAAATGGCTCACGTTCCTTGAGCCGTTGGGGGCATGGGTCACTTTGACAGGCCTATGTCGGAAAAGTCGATTTTGGGCTGCAATTGTAAAGCCCAAAAATGGTTTATACGTCATTGAAGCGAGTTGCTGGCTCCTTGCAACCCCTCCGGGACCCACAGCTAGTTTTGACTTTGTTGACTTTTGTTTGACGTTTTGATATGATGGGGACTTCCTTTTCGATCTTGGACTGCGGTGCTCATCTCGAACAAATCCCGAACGTGGTAGAACACTGTACTGTTCGGGGTACTTTTACTTTGGTGGTTATGCGTGCAATTATCTCTGTAGTAGCGTGGGAACTTATTATTAATTCGAAAGAGATCAGCCTGGTGCCGGAGCGTAGCACGGCGTGTCTTGTTACTTTACTCATGTTTATTTAGGTTTATTTCCCTGTTTCCTCGTTGTGTAGTTCGCGATATGTTAGTATGGAGTGGTTATGTAGTTACAAGACAAGCGATTATTGCTGATTAGGGATATGATCATGTGGTCCTCTCCTTTTTGGCGAGCTTGGGTGCCTTATTTGTACCACGAGAGCGAGTTGTGACTGGCGGACGTCTTCTATTTTTGACAGCCTTAGACTTGAGGTTGAGTTCAGCTCGATTCTTCAGATTCCTTCTCGATGGCTTGACATCCCCGGTGTAATCTATTCCTTCGTAGGCATGGATATCACGAAGAATATCGTGTTTGGTCTTTACACGCGGAATTCGGAGTGTCGCTTTGACAGATCGAGTATCTTTGCTTAAGCCTACCACTTTGTAGAGCCTGGAATTTGTGATGAAAACAAATGCATCACCTGCCACTTTCCACACTGTCCCAGCGGCCTTTACCGTCATTTTCTCACTTGCAGGTAGGCATTCTAAGCTTGAGAATATTTCCTGTAAGCTCTTTTGTAAATCGGAGAATGCACCATTATCCTTTCCACTTTCGACCAGCTTATGATATTGAGAGATGTACCCTGGATGTTGGAATAGTGGGTCCCATTGAGATTTGACGTGTTTTGGCGATGAAGTCGGAGGAAAAAAGATTGGCATCCTGTTTGCAAAGGAAGGAGACCTCGGTCCGGGGCGGCCGTGCGCAACACCATCTTGCTCTAGAGCATCATTCGAAGCCTCCCATTTGACGCCGTCTAGAAGATTCCGCACATAATGGATCGTCCAGCATTTCATTGCGTCGTCTACTGATGATGGTCTAGGCGGGGAGGACTTTAGGAATGGGACGCTCAGCATCAGCCATATATGGCCTGTGAAGGTGCAAAACAGGATTACTGCTCTCAGAGACCAGTCTATGATCTCCGGGTTCCACTTTTTGACTAGCAACCACGGGAATTTGCCGTGGAACTCTTTGAGATCAGTCCACGTGGGGAATTTTCCTAACGGGTAGTCAGAGTCGTCATTGCGCTCTGCAGCTGCTAATTCATTTTCTTGAGATGCAATGGCTTGGTCTCGTCGCAGTGGTGCGTTTTTTCCCATTATGCGGAGGACCGAATCGCTATCGATTTCTTCCACACCTTTCAAGCGCGCTTTGCTAATGTCTAGATCATGCAAGAAAAACATGTTGCAAGTTTCCATGACTGCGTGTTGTTGGAGAGATTTGAGCGAGTCACTGAGATGTGCGTCGTATACGATCGGAGTGTAGGTGGTGGAGCGGATCATGTGTGTGAGTAGTGAGGTCATGATACCCAGATTTGGAGGGTTCTTTCTCCGGAGAGCTTCTTGGGTCTCTTGCAATGACTTGACCCGCATCGCGTTCCATCTGAACCAAGTTTCAGTCTGAACCCATATTACCGACCCTGAATCCATGAGCTGACGGCCTCGCTCTTTCTATGACATTTGTCAGAAGGAGTATCGGCTGGAAGACGGATGGATGACATACTAAGCCGGCCGCACCATTCCGCAACATTGCTTCCGCCGCATCCCAAGTCACACGATACTCGTCTCGCACACCGAAGGTCTTCCCTGTCGCTCCAAGAAGCTGTTCAATGAGGCTGTTGCATTCTTCGGTGTACCGTTGGGTGAGGTTGTAGGCGTCACTGTCTGAGGCAAATGTGGGCTTGTTATTACGAGGCCTTACAGCCTCATAGTCAAGGCTGTATGAGCTCCGGGAAATGATACCCGTCTGCCATTGCCTGTCTTTACTCATGGGTGCTTGCATGGCACCAACCCGGGAGAGCATAGCGTGATTGTGCATGCTTCCGGCATTGAACCCCCCTGCTCCGAATGACACTTCGAGGGCTTCAAGCCACCATAGACCTGTGACTGCATTGGATTGTCTCATGGGGGTGAACGCGACGCCAATATCAAGGAAAAGCTCTCCCTTTGCGCGGTCCCGCATCTGGTCCCAGTCCAAGGACGGGATACTCTCCTGCAGAGCAGAGACAGGGTCGCTGTATGTCCCGTTTTGGCGCTCGACAGTCATAAGCTTGATGCCCTTTGCTTCTAGGGCAAAGAAGAAGGATCCAAACATGCCCAGTGTTGATTCATCTTCGTTAATGATCTTCCTCATCGTTACCTGGGCCCCCATAATCACTTCACTAGGTATTGGTAATAGTTTTCCATTACCGCTTGAGCCTTGATCTGCTTTCCTGCTCTTATATTTTAGTTCTTTGAGAGTATGTGGAATATAAGGCTCCAAGTGTTTGAGTTCTTGGAATGATTTTACCAAGGCGGGAATAAGGACGCGATCCCAAAACCTGTCAAGAACATAGTGAGGCATCAAGTTGACGCTGCGATGATTGGTAAAGTTTTTATGGAACATCCTAGGAAAGAATATCAAGATGTTCGTTGGCTGGCCAGAGGGTGATGGTGTGGACCCAAACTGCGTGTGAGGGATCCCGTTCATTTCAGTAGGCATAGACATCCATTCTGTGCGTCCTCCGGGCTGAGCGCGATCATAAGCAGATTGTGGAATGAGAAGATCAATAGAGATGTGATTGCGTTTTGGTATGGCAGGACCTCCAAAGTAGGTTGGTATTGTTTGTAGTCCTATCGATTTTTTGAAGATCAGGTTCGGACCTATCCAAATGAGACTGTCAATATCAACAGAAATATGAATATCTTTGCTTCTGATATCAACGCGATCCAACTGGAGGTCAACGCAAACGTAATTCTTCTTCTGTTGCGCTAATCCTCCAGTAATTCCCCGTACAAAGATGCTCTGAGCACTTGATGATCTCCCTCTGTGACCGCGACCCTCGGATGCGAGCCGGAGCATCTCAGCCGCCCCCATTATCCGGACGTCATTGACGTTGACCTGTGAACCCTCTTGCTGACTACGAAGACGATACTTTCCGGTGGCACGGTTTGAAACCTGCTGGCTAAACTGGTATCCAGGCACGGTGCACATTATATGATCCAGCACTTGGACGGGCGCCTGCAGAAACGAATTTTGGAACGAGCTGGCCAGAATTCGGTAGCCGCGATCACGCCAATCATCGATTACAGGACAGACTTTTAGTTTGTCAAACGGGGGACAATAAATGAAGGCCAGCTCGGAGCGATGGATCAATTCGATGGTCGGCCCACTTTCGTAGTCATCAAACTGCCGGTCATGCTGAAAATACTGTTTCCCTTTGACGGGCGGGAGGACATTTAACGGTTTTGGTCTTGGGAAGCGTTTGAGAACGCTGCGTGGCAACTTTGGAAGCAATGTACCGTGTTCAGCTTCAGTATCGTCTGAATCCTCGCTTTCTATGGGATGGTCTAAATTGTTAGTGCTTGCACGCGATGTTGCGAATGTTTTATCGCGAGCACCCCGGATGTCGTTGATATCTTGTTTTAGCTTATCCCAGTCAGGGGCAGAGTTTCTGTTTTGAGCAAAGGCTGGTTCGGTTCCCGAATCTAAACAGCTTGTGCAGAGGCTGATTGCATGGTTAAGGTTCTCCACAATTTCTTTAAAACAGTGGCCTGCAGCGGTTGTGGATGAAGGGCTATTCTTTGCTCCAGATTGGTGAGGAGAAAAGAGATCCTCGACCTCGTCAGAGATCAAAGTGTCATCCATACTCCAGAATGGAGGCGGACGTTGGCGAAATTGCCCGAAGTTCTGGAAGCTACGCACACACTGGTTGTAGACCTGATGGAGAATATTGAGCCGGAGGACATGCCCACATATCAGGGCGGGTCTGGTTCCCTGCAGAGCGGATAGTGTTGGGCATAGGCCGTCGATCATGCAACGTGCTAGTACTTCACATGCGGTTGGACCGCAATCAACACCATTTTGTACCCACTCCACGGAGACAGTGGTGACTTTATCTGGGTTTCCTGCGTCCCAGCGATGAAGCTCTGCAACCCTATGCCAATAATGCTCCCGATGGTTCCAATTGTCTGGTCTGTTCCTTCCTAGAACATATGCTTTATGGTCCAGATAATCAAAGACACAGGCGAAGAAATGAGATCCTTCATGGACCAGAAAGCCGACCGGAGACACGGGGCAGATTTGATTCGATATGTAGTGGTGGTTGTCAAACTGCTCCCTGAACTCAGGGGTGATGGGCTGACTGAATATAATCTCCCCCTGCTCTTCCTCCTGATTTTGCCCCTCTTGTTTCTCTGTGGACGGGGCGCCAACACGACGACAATATTCTGTTTTGTTGGAGCTCCTTCCCACTAGTTCTTCTGTTTGCTCTTGCATTTTGCGTCCTTCATTTCTTTCCTTTTTTGTTTTCTCCAAGACAAAGGTGATTCTCACATCGTCACTGCGGGCAAAACGAATGTGTGTCCCTCCATGGGCCTCATGCCAGATAGATGCCAGATAAAATGTGAGGACATTGATGTCGACCCAGGCGCCAGCCCTCAGAGTCTCCAAACCATGAAAGGCCGTTGTCCAGTACACCGGTTGAGCCATGATGCTCGCTCAAATACGCCATGTCATGAACATCTGCTGTAACAGTGGAGTCACACTAGAGCCCACTTACCTCCAATATCCTCCTTGTGAACCTGAAATAATGGTGTACGGATATATCCAGGAGTTTCTTGCGTAGGCAAACCAGGAGAACGAAGGCTATTTTCTTCAAGCTCGATGCCAGAGAATGATTCATGGGATGGGCAGAACAAAGAGCCCTCATCCGATATGCCGTCGGTGCATGCCTCGATCGGAGTCTCTTTGAGACCAATGGTAGAGCCAGGCTGTGGGTCAGTACCTTCTGTGTGACGGTGAGCTTCATCACACCAGGCCTTATCAGGAAGCATTTCTTCTGCAGGTTCTCTCAGCATGGATTAAGGGCTGGAAGGATGAATATATCTAACCTTTCGTTTCTTTTTTACAACGCATTGTCTTTCGCCCACTAGACACGTTAATCTTCAAAGACGTTATCAGTGTGTGTGTCTTTATGAAGTTGTGGTTGAAAGGATGTTGCTCGAGATATGGTCGGTATGTGCGTAAAACATCGTCGTTGGACACCGAATAAACTGAAACATGGTCATCACCACGTGAAACAAACAGGTCAGTGCATATCGTACCTTGGGGAGTGTGGGCTGGCAGGGCAGATACAAGGGAGAACACATCATCTTCTTTGGGTTCTGTGAGGTCCGCGTCAAGTATGGAGGTAGCTAAACTGAAGTTGGTTGGAGTTTTGACTTATTGTAACGATAACCCACATTGTTCGACTTTAATTGTAGACGGAGGAAGAGCCTTGGTGAGATGCCCTTTTGTATGCCCACTCTTCTTTGAGGGCTCTGGGGGAGTGTGATCAGTTCATAATCGAGTTCTGAGCTCCTAAGAATCATACCGAATATTTTCTTCAGTGTGGTCCTATAGACGATTGGAGTACGTCTCTGGGATACCGCCTTTTGATGTAGATGAGGAGTGACTGGACGGCTGTATGCACTGTGCTGCTTGAGCCGCTCTTCAAATTGCTGTCGAACAGTCTCGTCGGATACTGAGACAAAGATGCGGAGAAATACACAAGTAAATCAAAAGTAGATTGGCTTTGGGTAAGCGGAACAGGGGCAAATGCAAAGGCTTTGTAAACATACCTTGCCTCATCCTTGCGTATTTGTTGATGATGTTCGTCGCGCCCGCCCTTGGTGCGGGTGATGGTAACAACAGGATTGACGTGAGAAACACTGCCCTACTAATGTTTGCGGCGGAGCACGAAATAATTAGTGCATGAACGTTTGAACGTCTGGTGCATTTACGTACACCACCGGTTGAGCTAAGAGTGCCTGGGATATGATTAGGCGCGTATCCAAGGCATATCGCCCGGATTATATGCTGAGCACATTTCAGCGGGGTTTGTCGGCTGAAGGGTGGGAGATGAAAAAAAAAGATTCCCATCGCTTGCAAAAGAATGCATTCACGCTGTTTCGAACATCAGCGTCGTCCCTAGGGACGTGGTTACTTACCTGCTGCACCATTGTGCTGTTGTGAACACAGGTGCTGCCCGGGTCTATATCTAGTTACTTTTGGACTTAGCAAAATTTCGCTACCTTTGCTCAATTATTGTTTG